GGGCTACAACAATGAAATCTTAGGTGAACTCAGAACCAATAAGTCACCCATCAATAATTCTCTTCTTGACTTGAGTTATAAAAGGTGTGGTCATATTATATAAGTACACAAAACCAAAAGTCTCTTCCTAGGTTGATGGGTCCAGTCCTTTGCTTTTTCAGGCTAATTGTACCAGGTAATATTGTTTATAAATTTATTAAGATCCATCTTGAAGCCAGGTGAGTTTCTTATCCTCACAGCTTTTATTGGAAAGATATGCCAGACCCTCATTGCTCTGGTGGTTAGAAATCCTCTTGCTTCTAGCTTAAATCTATACCTGGCTAGTTCATAACCATTTGTTCTTATACCAAGCATTATCTTTTAGCTTAAATAGATCTTCTCTCTCCATGTTTCTGGTGCTTACCTCTTTTTATTTGTAGAGGGTTAATCACTTTCCCTTTCAGGCTTTGTTCTACTAGCCAAGCTCTCTTCCTCTACTGGAGCAAATAAGCTCTTCAATCCCAGATCATCCTATCAGCCAGCTCAAATTTGTCTTTCTTGAAAAAGTGTGATATGACTTTTACCCAGTATTCCAAATGGGGTCTTTACTAACACCTTGCACAATGACATCAATACTTATCTATATCTAATGGAAATATTGTACCTCAGGCACCCTTGAATTACATATTCCAGTTGCTAGATTGAATAGTTAGATTTGAAATCAGGTAGTTACATGAAATAATTACAGCACATTATTGCAATGATTCAGCCTATGTGGCAGGGAAAAAAATGAAGAAACATGCCTCTCTTGATCAGAGTCCAGTTGGAAAAATTAGCAGAAAAAAAGAAAAATTAGCAAAAGAAAAAATTAAAATAGTATGACACAAATCTTGAGGCTCCTCAATCTTGTATATTAGTTATGTTTTATTAAAGGAATGTCAATCTAAGCAACAATGATTAAATTAATTAAAATGTCATGAATATTATATATTTTGTATTTTCTAAATCTATAGGAAGATTCTGTACAAGCAAGAATCCCACAATCCAGATGAGACTGTACTGTAATATGTTAATAAAAGGATTCTTTGGCGTATTAGACATGAACACTAGAAACTATCTATTTCAAAGTTTATCAAAATGTTCCATTCTGGTTGTTTTACATTTTGTATTTGTAGACGAGAGCATACACCAGTGATTCTCAGTCAGGGTGCTGTGGCACCTTGAGGTGCCTTGAAATCCTTTCAAGGGTGCTAGAGAGTGCTACACAATGTTAGCCTTGTTAGATGTGCAAATGTGATTCACAAAATAAACTGAGTGTTATCAAATAAAAAACCATAGTGTTAGAAACATTGTGACTTGTTGGGATCTTTCTGAGTTCTTTGCAACAGAAAAACGGCTTTTTCCATAGAAAACAGAACAGAAAAAGCAACAGAACAACATAGAAGAAAACAGAAAAACTGCTGTTCTTTGCAAAAAAACCCTGCTTTTTTCCATAGTCAAAAAAGGAGTAAAAGCTAAGAGCCAGCATTTTCCGAAGGGACCCTTGAATCTTAGCAAGGGGTACCTTGAGCCTTGGGTTTTAAAGGTTGAAAACCACTGGCATAGTTATAACCCCACATAGCTTGAAGGGCAAGTGCTCCCAGCATGGGGGAAATGTTCATATCACAATATGGCCTTTAGTTACAGATGTAAATAAATATAAGGTTAGTAGTAGCATATCTAACCCATCTGTTCACAAGAGAGGTTAGCATTTGAAATTATATGAGAAAACATATTCCTTTGTTTATCTGTTACTGTGGTGAACAAATATGATATTTCTCCATTGATCAAGTTTGTCTATTAGTTACATTACTCTGGGTGTATCTACAGACCCAATTAATGTGAAGCAATAAACTCTGGAGCAGTTTGAGCCAGAGTAAATTATGTCCAGGAGCAGTGTCTACACATGCAACCAGGACAGCATCAATTCAAGCAGTGGGAGATCAGGCCTGGGCTGGCAGAGAGCATGGTGGTCAGCCTTGCTGGCTGGGGCATGAAGGTACTGGAAGTGTGAAGCCATGTGGCTAGGCAGCAGGCAGGAATCTGGTCCTGGCTGGCTGGGCTGGCTTGGTGCAATTGATGCCTGTGGTTAGCATCTACATTTGTATTTAAATGCAACAATTACTCTTGTGTAATATAGTACTGTCTTATATATATAACTTAGTTAAATTTCATGTTGTGCTGCAGAAAAAATGGGATAAAAAACATTTTTGAGAACAATTCTGATGTTGGTTTACAACAGGTTGTTCTTGCAGGACAATATAATGAGAACAGTGGGTATGGAGGTTTGAACAGACAAATCTCAAAGTGATTTTATGTTTTTTGAACTTTTGTCTGTGGGAGAGAGAGAGATATTCTTAGTAAGAGAATACATGTTTTTATTTGAGTGTCTAAAATGAGGTCAGGCTAGGTGTTTGAGCACACAGATGAAATAAATAGTATAAGCAGCATTGCATTATTTTGGATGGGATTGTATCATAATGTATAATCTTCAAACAATACTGTCAAGGTAAAAATCCTATTTTACAAGTGCTGCTATTAATATGCTAAATTCTGTTCTAATATGACTTTTTTTTTTTAGATACATCACTATAAATCTAGAACTACATCAGTTTTAAAAGAGTTTCACCAGACGAAGAATGCCAGAACAGAGAAAAAACTGATGTCCGGCACTTATTTGTACAAAAGTACCACAGCAATGAAAATACATGTCATTTGCAGTTCTTAATTTTTGCTTTTCATTCCAGTTCCCCAAGAGAACAAGATTGATTCTAATTCTCATCATCACCAACTAGCACAGTGGGGTGGAATTAAGTGTTTCCAAGAAAGCTGAAAAATGTTTAAATTAAAAGTAATCTTAAAAAAAAAAAATCAAGAAATCATTTTATTTATATTGGAAAGTTGAGGGCAACATAGGATATAGGTATGCACATACATTTTAAACATAAGGCAACACAAGTGCAAATCACTGGAAGTAGGGTAGTCTCTCTCTCAGTAAAGGAGGCCTCATTATTTCCATGCATCTCCCTTTAGTTTCAGTGGGAAACCTCACAACCTATAAGACGTGTGCACTTCTAGTGGTTGGTACTGTACAGTCACACAATATTTACAAGTGAACTTCAGCTCTCTAGGCAAGTTACTTCACAGGTAACTCTGAGCAACACACAGTTAAATGCACATTAGGTTTTTTGGATGACATCAGGATACCTATCAAAGCAAAGCTAGAGCAGAATGGGTTGTTAAAGCCCCAGGGTACATATATAGTTACATAGATCATTTTTATACAGTTGGTCTATCTGTGATAAATCACAAAGTAAGAATCATCATCTGTTGTCCTGGACTCCAGCTCTGTTCTGAAAGTATTAAATCCTCACTTTCTTGAATATCTAAAGTGACGGTGTCCAATACCTGTAGGAATTTTCAGCAAGATCCTCTTCTTATGGGGATAAATGAGGATTTTGCTATTCAATGGCAGCAAGATTATACCTTCCACTTGTTGCGTGCTGCTCAGTTGCATACAATTTATTAGATATATTTCCAAAATCAAACTTAAGGAAAGTTAAAATAACAAATAAGGATAAAATATATATACCCCAAAGAAATAAAAACCCAGAATAGCAAGTGATTAACACATTGGTTAAAAAGTTAGCTCACTGAAGTTCCACATACATTAAATAGTTCAGGTTTCATTTTAAATGTCTATTCAAATTCCTTTGGGGCCATTATTTACACTTTGATTTTGATTTTTGATTTTTTAAGAAATGTGGCAGAGACCTAAAGAAAACTTACCATTACTTGGAGAAAATTCCAAACTACTAATAGGAAAAAAAAGGAAACCTACAAAGCATCCGGTCATAATAAAAAGTAATCCAATTAGATTAGGTATATTTTAACTCACAATGTTTGTAAAGAACAAATAAAGCCAGCATAAAATTGAAATTTGGAGCTCTGCTGATATACGCTAGCTGATTTATGTGATTTTCATTATCACAAGGTCTTTTTTGTCTTCAACATGCTTGTATCTCCTGTTGATAGCGCTGGAAGTTTATGTACAAATTACCTGTTCCTCAAATATGTATTAGTTTAAAATAAATTCTGTCAGAATTGTCTCATTCTGTTTAAAACTTCCAAATGTTAGAAACTAAAAGCTGAAAGTTAATTGGCTTAAAATATTTATTAATTAAAAAAAAGTTAGAATATTTGTGTATACAAATATGGTGAGAAAAAATATCATGCAAACTCTTTGCATACAATAAAAATAACTCAAATATTAATATGGTTTTACAAAATAACTTCTTTATAGTAACTTTTATGAGAAATGTTGCTCTTATCTCTGTGTCTGAAAGCACCAGTCACAGTAATTAGAAAGCCATTTTTTTAATTTAGAAGTTTTTCTGTGGAACATATATCAGTAATTTCACACTTTTGCACTACGATCAACAATTAATACTGTATTACTTTTACTCAGAAAACTAGACATAGACATATGAACATAGGGTAATGAATTCCTTAATACCACTGTACTTCTAAACAATGTATGTTAATGCATAAAGTTGCCAAAAAATTGCTTTAGACAATTCCCTTAAATGATGACAATATCTTGAGATTGTTATGGATGACATCTGTTTCTGCTTAATTACAAATCTTCATTGGATTTATAATTTGTGTATATTACAAGTGATTTGCATAATTAAAACAATTAAGGGATTGACATATCATGGCAATTAGAAATGCATCAAACTCTGAATGTTATACAAAAGAGAGCTTCAATATGAAACATTAATTCTTTGAGAACTAAATATCCTACAGATTCCTGCAGAGCAACCTTAATACATTTAACTTGTGTTCACTGAACTTCAGCATGAAAAGGTTTTTCTCCAGGATATCTGGTTCTTCTTTACGTTGTTGGACCTTTAACCAAAAAAAGACAAAAAAATGCTTATTCCTTCTATTTTCTCCACCAGTCACAGTATTGACTTGTGTGCTTATTGCAGATTTCCAGAATTTTTATCTCATTTTCCGGAGCCTTATTCTGTTTTCTTTGTCTCTCTTTTTAAGAATAAGTATGAACTGGTTGAAAAAATGCTCTTGGTCTTTCTTTTTCTGAACAAGTCGAAACCGCTGATCTCTGCCATGTTTCTCTGCAAATTCTTTAAATGTTGTTCTGCAGACAAGAAATAATCATGAGTAAAGCAGCGCTTAAAAGACTTGTCACTACAGATTCAGATTCTTTGACCATGGGTTTACATGTTACGTTTCATCTCGCTATTGGAGTTACTGAGATTGTTCTCTACTTGACAAAGGGAGTCAATCTCTCCATTCTATTGCCTCTTCCAAAATCAAAATCATCTTTACTCCCTAATCTAATTGACTTACTTGCATTAATCAGTATTCCCATTTTCATATGCTGTAAATGTATTGATTTTCAGAAACTTGCTTAACAATTAGTTTGGAGTTAATTATCTTTAATCATTATTACAGTATGGCTAAAATGAATTTTCACTGCCCCACCTAGTTGCTTAATTCTACCCTTCTTAGAGATATGTCAGAATTTCTATTATTACCATATCTTGTAGTGGAAAACTCTATTATGCCTAAATTATAGCAAATGCATTTGACTGTCCAAGTATGAATACCTAAAGGAACACTGTAGTTTTATCTTCTTTAACAGAAGCATAAAAAATGGAGGAGAAAGGGACTTCATGAGGTCATGTATCCCAAACCCTTTGGAAGGTAAAACCATCATGTA